GAGAGAGAGAGAGAGAGAGAGAGAGAGAGAGAGAGAGAGAGAGAGAGAGAGTTTTTGTAGGGGAATGTTTACTTTTTGTTTCTTCAGGACAAGGACAGAGAGAAAGAAAGAGAGAAAGAAAGACACCTCCAACAAAACAAAAACAACAACAACAACAACAACAGCAACAACAACAACAACAACAACAACAACAAACACATCAACAACAAAAACGACAACAACAACAAACACAACAACAACAAAAACAACAACAACGACAACAACAACAACTTTTGTTTGGAAAATAAAATGTTCAACTCATTCCTCCACACTCACTCAGGCGTGGGAAGTTGGTCCGCGTTAAGACCTGGCCTGGTTCTACAAATGAATATTGATGAGTGTTCCTTTTGTCATTATAATTGTTCTTTTGTTTTTGATCACGCAAGAAGTCGCACTTGTTCGACTCAAACTATAACGTGCTGTTATATATATACATGGGTCGCGTGCGCTTACATGACCTAATGCAGTTGAGAGCGTCGTAAAACACTTGCCAAAACAAAAGCGTAGTAATGTACACATGAGTCGATGCAGATGGTTCAGATGTGAAATTATCAACACGTGTTGTTGCACGTGTACGAAGAGAAAGGGTTAAAACCCACCAACCGTTGAGCGTCAGGAAGCGATCCCAGGCGTTGTGAAGAGCTGAGAGGCCAAGGCCTGGCGTGTTGATGCTGTCACCAGCTGTTGCCAGGCATTGTTACCAAAGCGCAGGGCACTGCTATCTGGTGACGAGGATAGACGTCAGAACTGTCCCTTCTGCCTGCGCCTAGTCGCAACCCTATAGCGTGGTCAAAAATGTTGTGGTGGGACTTATTGTCAAATGTGAGGCAGCGTGGTGGAATCAGGCTCTCGTCAATTTTTGGGCATGTAGAGTTATTGGTATCATCTTAAAGCTTGTTCATTTCTTTTTATTTATGTGAAAAAAATATCCATTTATCTTGAATAGAAGTCGAGATATTTGCGAATGAAGGGGGTGGGGGTCACCTTTTTTCAGAGGTAAGATTAGTGAGAAAATGGCCGCCAAAGATTAGTTATTTCCTCAGCTTAAGAGTCCGTGGTAACTGAAAATGTACATTTTTTTGTGCCTTTAATCAACGTTTTTTAGGAAAAATTCACACAGAAATGAGTTCTTTAATGGGCATGAAAGCTGTTGAGCCCAAAAATAAATAATTTGAAAAAA